TTTTAGTTCCTTTTCTAATCTCTATTTCCTTATAAGTCCTACTATATAATATTTAATCCTTTTACTTTAGAATATAGTCTTCTACTAGTACTAGAACTAGCTTATCTATTAACTTCCTAGCTTAGCTTAGATAGTTTAGTAGTTCTACTTTTCTTCTACTAGAGTTATAGTTCTCTAGAGTTTTCTTCTTCTAGATCCTCTATCCTCTAGTACTCCTCCTTATTCTTTAGTAGAGGTAGTAACTATATAAAAAGTATTTAGCTAGGACCTATAGGTTTAGTTACTATAGCTATAGGATTCGGACTAGATTTAATACTAACTATAGTATAGTACTCGATACTCCTACGAGTTATCGACGCTCTCCCTATAAGAACTAAGCTTAAAGGGAGGTCTTTTCGGGAAGTTTACGATTGTTTGCTATAGTATATTATAGGCGGTATGCCTTATACTATACTTTTGTATCTATCCTACTATAGCGAGATACCTATTAGTCCTATAAATTATTAATATCGATACAAAATACACTAATATAACTAGAACCTATAGAGACTGCCTATTATATACTATAGGCGAACCTAGGAACAATACCTAGATCCGAGTCGCCTAGTACTAAAATTCGCTAAAAGTAGTTTCGAACTACAAAGCTCGGAGATATTAGTTCTCTCGGGTCGAGGACGGTATATAGCTCGGTCTTTCGAATTAAAGCTATAAGCTAAGCAACGTTCTATTACTTTATATATATTTGCTTCTACCTACAGTCCTACTCTTATTACTAGAGGCGGGGGAGGAGCGCACGATCGCTACTAGGCCCTAATATAATGTTCGCGCATCTATAGTAGCCTTATAGAACTATACTCGGCGAGCTCTAGTACTCTCTAGGCTCTCTTAACTTTAACTATTATTAAGAGAGATAGCAGCGTAGCTACTATTACGCGGCCTTAGTATTAAGCGCATTACGTATCTACTATCGCTAACTGCGAGATATATACGACAAAGCTCGTCGCTATATAAACGATAGACGTTTGCTTCCCTTCCGAAGCTATATCTGCGCAGACTTTCTCTAAGTACTCGGAATATAGATCGTCGTTTATTCGGGGCTTACCTATAGTACGTAAGATGTTGCAATGTTTTAGATTAGCAGAATCGTAATCTAAGTATAGCGGAAGTGCTAGAGGAAGTATAGACGTCGTAGGTAGGTAGAGC